CTGGCTGGGGAATTCTGGGGGTTGAAGTCCACACCTCTTCTAGTGGCCGAGGTTGAAAAACACTGATCGAGATTCACCAGTGGGCAGCTCCGGAAAAGCTCTCCATCTAACTTGGAGATCTTCGTTTTCACAACAGGCTGAAAGAAAGAAAGAAAGAAAGAAAGAAAAGCTGGAAAAATCCTTTGAATCTAACCATAATGTCAAATGGGTGCTCTTAAGGAAACAGAGTGAGCATTGAAATGGCGCCGAGATTCCTGGTTGCGTTGTGCAGGGCACTGCTAACCTACATACCCCTTCTTGCCAAAGGCTCCAATTATACATACATTAAGGCTGCCAACGCTGGATGGTTCTGCCAATGCCTGCCCCACCTGCCCAGCAGAGCAGGTTCGGTTCGGCTGCTGCCCACCACGTCAGCTGAGTCACCTTCCCATAGAACTGGGGTGGGCAACATTTGGGGGCCAGGAGTCATGCTGGACGCTTTTGGAAGCCTGACAGGCAGAGGAGGGAGAGGCGTGGAGGGGGGGCTAATTTTTCATTTGATTTGGGGAGAATTCTTCAGTCCTTTCAACTGGGTTAAACGGATTTGCACCACAGGTTTAACAAGTTCCTGCATCGGAAGGGTGAGAAATTGGACCAGGCGTGGTCAGCGGGTGGAAAGAAGGGGCTCAGGCCACGGACGCACCCCCCCCGAAGAAGCACTGCGTGGGGGCTGTGAGCTACGGGGCAGCTCCTCACTCTGCTCCTTCTTCTTGCAGGAGGCAATTGGGGCTTACGTCTTCCTCATCTTCGCCATCCTTCTCTTTGTGTTCGCCATCTTCACGTACCTCAAGGTGCCCGAGACCCGCGGGCGCACCTTTGACGACATCGCCGCCACATTCCGACGCACCCCGTCTTTGTTGGATCGCGAGATCAAGCCGTACACCGAGCTGGACGAACTGAGCCCAGACAACCACGAATGAAGGGACAAGGGGGACGACAGAGAAGGGAGTCATGGACACGGTCTGTGGAATCAGGGATGGTGGCAAAGATACCCGGGTTTGTCTAGCACTTTAAGGCCGCGAGCCCCGGGGAGAGGGGCTTGCGGTCTGGGCCAAACAGTTCATTTGGTCCGGTTGCATTTACTTTTTTAAATTTGTTTTTAGAAGAAAAGCAATAGAGGGGGGTCGTTTTTATCAGTGAGACGATTAGGGAGGGCAGGTAACTCTTTTCATGTTGCGGCAGAAAAGTCGCACAAGGAGTGGCCAGTTTTGTCACTGCTGTAAATATGGCTTTGCGGGTAGGCTGGTGGGGTGGGAAGGTGCCTCCTCGGCAGCCTCTTTTGCCTAGATTTGCCCAAAATTCCCCAAAGCACATTCTGGAGGAAGAGCCACCCCCCCCAAGAGAGACACCGGCGGCCAACTGGCCCTCTCCAAAGACTTCCTTCGTTTTCTACCTGTTGGCCTTGGGTAGGACTGAGTCCTGTTTCCCTGAGTGCCTTGACCTGGGATGTACACTCAGGAGTGCCCCAGAACATGGGCAGAGTGCCTTCCCACTCACCCAGGAGACTCCACTGGCAGCCTTTGTCCTTCGGGGCATCCACGTGCTCCAGAGTGCCAATTTTCGGGCCAGGTTTGTCACCTCTTAGACATCAAGCCCTGGATACGTGAAGATGGAGCCCAGACGAGGCGGCGTCGGCGGGAGAGGTGGAGGGCGCTCCTGAACCACGTCCAGGCTGTGGGATGCAGCCAAGGGCTCCTCCAGGGTAGGAGGAGTAGGCTACTAGTCCCCAGCCCAGGCGCGCAAGACAGGGAGAGAGGCATTCCCTTGGGTGCTCTCTTGGCGTGGCCTGGGGTGGGGACCCCCCCGTTGACCCCCCTGTTGACCCCCCTTTATCCTTGCGCCTCTTTGGCCCCTTCCCCTTTCTCTGAGGCAGGGGGCCGAGAGCGAGAGAGGGGCTGCTCCTCCAGAGAGCTGAACCGATGCACTGAAACGTCCCAGCTGAGCCAGCCCGTGCCTGGTCCGGGCCAGGAAGGACTTGGCAGGGCGGCTGATCAGATGGCACTGCTAAAACCCCGGTCTTCGGCCTCTCCAGGGCCCTCGCGGTTACAAGACCGCTGCCTCCCAAACTACTGCAGGGGCTCGCCCAGGGAGATTAAAAGAAAACCTGGCGTTAGCTGATTTTACGACCCAGAAAGTTGTTCAAAAGAAAAAAATTCTTCCCATTTAGAATAGCAAAAGGGATCGCTGTGCAACTGACTTCCTATCTTGCCAAGCACGCTCACGTGCCTCCCATCCAGGTATGAGCTGGTTTGAACCCAGTTGAATTCTATCCCCCAGCTTGTCCCAAGGGCCCCGGGCTTTCGAAAGACGGGGAGCTTCCCAGGAATTAGTTTTCTAGCAGAGATCTGTGGTTGTGTCACACTTTCAAAATTGCCTCAGTTTTCATTCCCGGTTTGATTCTTCAGCACTTTTGACCACTGCAGTTTTCAAGCATCTCTTTGCATCCATCCAGGTTAGGATTTGGATTTTTTTTCCTATTAAAGCACAGCAGTTTAAAATAGAAGCCGGTGGACTGCATCACTCCAGAAATTTTGTTACCTGTGCAGAACTCAGAATAGAAATGAAAAGATGTGAGACTCCACGACTCTAAAAAAACAAGAGATTAAGTTTTCTGCTCTAAGGGTGCAAAGGATTTGGTTTTCAGCTTATGTAATTGGAGAAAATGTCTTAAAATTGCAGGCAGGTTTTTGTGTGTGCATGTTACCTTTTGTATTTCTAGAAAAATGGTATTTGTATATAAAGAACGGATGGCTACGTTGTGGGTTTTTCTTGCTTTGCGCAACTCCTTGATACTCAGCAATTTCACATAAGAAATTAGTTCCCAAAGGCAATGGGAATGTTCAGATGCCCTGCAAAACATAGGAGGCAGCTGGACTCTAATCCATGAATCACATTAGAGAAACCAGGAGAACATTAACTCCCCAGTGCGTGGCCTGTCCGTGGAAAGAGCTATTCCTGAAGGCTTTGGAGCAATTCTAGACTTCCTTTCACGGCTGTTCACATGGCTTCCCTTGAGAAACTTCTGACCTTCTCCTACAGAGATATCCCTCTTTATTCAAATGGCTTGCTCATGTTTTCCCAGGGAAGGGGAAGAAATATTTCCGCCCTCCTTATGCAGAGCAGTTGATCAGCCCCACATCCAGCAGCTTTTTGAGACCCACACAGCCTTTGCCATCGTCTTCCTCCCCCACCCCATGCGCTCTTCCAGGAGCGACGGCCCTTTCCTCACGTACGGGCTAGCAACTACCTCTCCCTCCTTTGGAGTGGCCAACAGCCCAACCCAGGTGTGCAGATGCCACCTTGCCCCCCACCCGCCATACAGACCTGGGCCCTGGAGAGCACCCAGGCAGAGTGATGCCGCGTGCACCATTAGGTCACGGGGGCTCCCCACCCACCCGTGGGCTCTGGAAGAGGTGCCAATTCGATCTAAGCCGGCTGGGCTCAGGACCAGGCTGCAGGCTTAGAGAAGGTGGAGCAACGCTCTCGCCCCTTAGCAGCCCCTTTCAAACAAACCCCCAGCTGCGCCTGTCTCATCTGCCTCTCTGGGAGGAACAGCGAAGCCATGCCCCCCCCCCCCCCCCCCTC